GAAATTTTTACATGTCTGTTTCTGACTATACCAGCGAGTAAATGTTTTCACATGTTATAAAGACTAGAAAATCCATACATGTAACTACCACAAACAAATATTTTGTTGATTCATATCTCTATTTCAAACTCAAGCCATACTGATCCATATAATTTCGAAGACACTCTCAGAATATCGTCACGGTGCTGCCAATAGGCCTACAGCGTTGTGGAATAATGTACATAACATAATACCAGCTACAGCTGTTATTTAAAATATCAGAATTTAGACAGTACCTTTCTTTTAATCAGTGTAGTCAAACCTCATTTTACAGTCACTCTTGGGATAAGCATGAAGTTGGCGTAAATAACTCAGGTCTTGTTTCGTTTTCGAAATGGAAACCAAGCTCCCGTGATGCACTAGCATGAATCACATGTTCACAACAAAGATGGCCTTGAAAGGCAGCAAAGTTTGAGAGCGGCAGTGGTTTCAAACATTTTGTTGATCAAAATATCCTAAATTGAAAATTTGACTGATCACTTGTCCACGTTCATTATAAGGCTTTCTTTTTGTACTTTTATTTGATTATAAGGTTTCTGTAATGAAGTAATGATCAAATAGCATGTGTAAATGTCTAAAAATTAAATAAACAGCAAAGGGGACCCATGGAGGGGGTGGCCACATAGTTATTCCCTCATTTTTTACAAGGGACTTCTTGACAATCAGAGACGGCAGCAAAATCCCCTCCATTGGGATATTGTTGCGATCAGTTGCTAACAGTGCCCATTTAACAGCAGTTTAGCTTACATAAGATAAAATTTATATTTGCACCATTTTCTAAGGTGGTGTACAATGAGTGTAGGGCACACAAATATCAGTGCAAAATGCAGAAAGTTAGGTTTGTATCCTCTCGACTTCAATGCGATCAATCATTCAAAACTGACTCCATCGGATTCGCTGCAGTCTGAAGAAACTGCACCGTCACACATACCTCTTGATGATAACAACCATGAAGACGTGGGTGGTCGGCGGGTGCTCTGGTGTGGTTTGCTCCTTCTTTCCTATCAAACATGATCTATCGTCTTTATCTCTTCTCCTTCTTTCTTATGTTTGTTACTCCCTCGTAACACCTCTAATCTTTTGGCCCTCATATGACCTTATGCAGTTGCGAGCGCCGTAAAACCTCTACATGTACTAAAACAAAAAACCATGAAGACCAGTCTATGTCTTTTTCGAGGAAGAAAGATTATCAAGTAGCCAATAAAGGGTGCTGTGCTCCATGTGTAGAGTCTACCTCTAGCGGTCAGTTTGCTGGAGGTGAAAAAAAATGGTGAAATGGTACAGGTTAACGCCTTTATCAACAAAATTAGGGTATTTAAGAGGTGGGACCTCCGAGTTTAATGTCCATGTCCAAAAGGATTAGGCCAAATGGGGAATCCTGTAAAGTGCCTTTCTCAGGGACACAATGATGGACTGAGCTGAGGCTCGAATTGCCAAACTCACAATCTCATGATAACGAGTCTGGTAGCCTAAACACTAGGCTACCGACACCTCGCTGGTGGCATGGCGGGGCAAATTTACATTAGTACAACTCAAACATATTTTCAATATAAAACAATTTTTCTAGTTAACATAGTACAATTTCACTTTACAATTTGCCATAAAGGCCAATGGCCTTCATAAAATTCAGAGATCTTCCAAAGACAGATGTGTACAATTCTGGATGGTCTACCAGGTGTCATTTGTCACACAGATGACATTCTCATACAAGCACCTGTTCAGGACACTCACAATAGCTTTACAAGCGAGTCAGACAAGTCCTGAAGCATCTCTAGAGAGTTAAAATTACTCTTAACAAGTGTGAATTTTCGCAGTCATCCATCAAATTCTTGGGCACATCGTGAATGACAGAGGTCTCAAAGTAGATCCAGGAAATTGAAAGCCATTTGAAAGTTTCCTCAGCTCAATAACGTCACCTAGCTATAATGCTTTCTGGGCAGGGTGAATGAGACAGCAAAATTCTCTCCTATCTCCTAACTTGGTTACTGCAACTGAACCTTTGCAAGCATTGTTCAAAACAAGACTCACCACAGTGGACATTGGGAGAACATCAAGAGGCATCTTTTTAATGCACCAAAGATGGCGTTACCACAACACCTATACTGGTACACTACTCGCCTGACCGGGAGACTATCGTTACTGCTGACGCTCCCATGTCTGGCCTCGGAGCAATACATCTACAATTCCAAGATGAGGGTCTCGTAGACATGTCGGCTACATCTCTCGAGCTCTGCCAGGTACAGAAAAGAACTATGCAGTCATCAAGAAGGAGGACCTAGCAGCAGCATGAACATCAGAACACTTCAGTGAGTACATCTTTGGCAAGCAGTATAAACTGGAGACAGATCACAAACCCTTGGTCCCTCTCCACTCTGCCAAGGAACTCCACAAAATGCCACCAAGGATCCAACGACTCCGTCTGAGGCTGATGCGCTTCTCACTAAATGTGTTGCATGTTTCTGGAAAGCATCAAACCATTGCGGACACACTTTCTCCTGTTCCAACAAATCTGCCATCGGAGGCAGAATCACTCTTCACTGATGAAGTTGCACACTTTGCGCAACAGGCTGTTGACAACCTCGCTGCTTCATCACAGAGATTTCAAAGTATTGTCTCACGGCAGAAGAATGACCCAGAAATGTTGGGAGTTTGGAAATACTGTATCACAGGCTGGACAGCATACAGACCTGAGAATCCACTTTTGAAACAGTATTGGACTAATCGCCTTCACTTCAGTATTTTGAATGATGTTCTTTTGTTTGATGAACCACTTGTAATTCCACAGGATTTGAGAATGGACGTTTTCAATTGACTCCACAAAAGCCATCTTGGCATCAAGCTCTAGCTCAATCTTCAGTTTGGTGACCCAATATCACCAGCCAGATCGAGGAGATAGTGAAGAAGTGCAAAACTTGTTTTTTCCAGAAGGAACCTCAGCCCCCTTCATCGTTACCTGACCGACCTTGGTCTCAATTGGCCATGGATCTATTTGACATGAAAGGTCAGACCTGCATCGTCATGGTCCACTATATTTCTCATTGGGTGGAGCTATGTCTACTCAAAAAGCTCAACAGTATGCTCATTATCAACAAAATCAAGTCTGTCTTTGCCAGTCAAGACATCCCAGAGAAAATTGTTTCCGACAATCGTCCTCAATTTTCAAGTGCTAACTTACGAGCTTTCGCCAAAGATTTTGGTTTTAATAACATCACCAGCTCTCCAAGATATCCTAGAGCAATGGTGAGGCAGAAAGAGCGGAGCAAATGGTGAAGCTTCTCCTCAAGAAAGCCAAAAATCTATACACTGTCCTCCTGCAGCACTGGACTACCCCTTAACACAATGGGTATGCCCCAAGTGAGCTTCTCATGGGGAAGGAAGCTTCAAACCAAAGTCCACATTATACAGAATGACTTACAACCGAGTACCGTCAATCTACCCTCTGTCCATCAAAGGGAGAAAAAGAGGACAGACACAATGCAGCTATTCCAGAACTTTGCCTCGTGGATTCTGTCCACATTTGAGACCTAAGCCAACTGGGCATCGTTATCAACAGACACCCCAATCCATGCTCCTACACAGTGACCACTGAAAAAGGGAACAATGTTTGCCACAACAGAATTCATCTCCTGGCTACCCCAGAGTCTGGGGCAACACACCGTTTACGACACAGCAACCTGACACCTCAAGCCCTGCTCTGGGGTCAGCGCAAATACACCGGCGGCCCCAGGGGAAACACCATGTGCCATTTGTCAGCCGATAAGATGGAGAAATCAGAACACCAAAGGGACTGGACCTGTAACTCAGTGACCTATATTTAGCTCCGAGCTCTAAATTCAGATCCAAGTCTTGAGAACTCTTTAAATGAAGTGTTGCAAACAAATGGAACTTAAATTAAAAATAGATGATCAACCATTGGGACAATAACTTCGGGAGAAATCTGAAAAGCTGTACATTACACTATACAGTGGGTGTCGCATTCAACGAGGTCGCCGGGACCGGCTTGTTGTCCTCGTTGGATCCGACCTCTCGCTGAACGTGACTAAGGCTAAAGTAAAGAAAGGAGACAAGTTATTATATTACACGATGTACCAATACCAGTAATTAAAACCGTTGTTCCCCCTGATGACAAAAATCTCAAACAGCATCAGTGTGTGCGTGTTTGAGCTGCGTTTTGACCATCATTTCTGCATTAATTTTTTTTTCGGAACAGTTTTCGTGTGGAAACATACCCTCTCACATCTAGGCCTAGATCTACATAAAGTAAAGGCGGGAGCTTGTATTTTCTGATCAGGGGAAGAAAAGAAAGTTGAAAAAAAAAGAAGGTCTCAATCTAGATCAAGACCTACCCATCCAGAGTTCATCCAGTTTCACACAGCCGCATCGTGTTCTCACCCACCCCCTCCTATCCCTACCGTAGACTAACCCTCGCCCATCCTCTTGGCTTTGGGGCCCTTATTATTAGGAGGCACACTAGGATCTAGCAATACAATGTGTTAGGAATCAAGGATGGGCCTTGTGCTTCGCGTGAGACGGAGAGAAAGGGGAAAAATTCTTCGCTTTTGGGGCCACTAATTGCTTTTATTTGGATATCGCAAACCTCGTTGAAAGCGACTTCGGTCTGTTTGCAGCCTCGTTGGAGTTGACGTACATTTATAAAAGGATATAGAGGAAAAAAATAGGGGATTAAGGATTGCCTCGTTGGAGCCGACTTCTCGTTGAATGTGACCTCGTTGAATGTGACACCCACTGTACCTGTTATAACTGTTATGTAACGTACAGGGAATAGACGGTAGGCTACCTTTCTTTTAATCAGTCACTATTTGGTTACAGTGTACAAGAGGACAAAAAATAAAACAAAGAGCCCTTTCAAGAGTGTGTTTCTTCACTCTCTCTACATCTGGTTGTACCCACAAATTGAACGATATTACAGGTGTAGGCCTAACTCATTTTTTCCATTTTCTGAGATAATTTTTTGGGGTTTATAATATAGCCTACTTTATTACATTTAAAAATGGAAATGTCTTAATTTACAATAACGGTCAAGAACTTCTGAACAATTCAAATTCTAAACGATGCACCATGAAGAGGCAAATTACAAAATGGTTATATATTCCATTATTTATAGCTTAAATCTGAAGACATAATGGCAGCACCATGACAATATTCTATATAAAAGAAGCAAGAAAATTTGGGATGTGCTAGAGGTAAACACTAGGTTCAATTACTAAACATGACCTATAAATTCAACTACAAGCTGAACTTCAATAAATTATAATACAAGGCTGATGCTATAAAAAAACCAATCACGATTCAAACTTTTTTATTCAGGAGTGCTGCAGCACACAGTTCCAAGACACATGCTAAGCACACAGCACCAGAGGAGTAGGATATGTTTGGACGGTATTTTGGACTGGATTCCATGAGCAAGTTTGTGTAGAATACAATAATGGCCATTGACATGAATGTTGCTGAAAGGAAAGAAAAACAATAATTATGCATAGAGTAGAAAGTGGGAGCAGTTTTCTTTTCACAAGGCTTCTCAAGGCTCACGGATAAAGAAGACATTCTTAACTTAAAGGAAAAAGATACTTAAACTATATTTTTTAAAGGATATCCATAACATTCATCATCCTTAACAAGGTTCAGACCAAAAATACTCCCCACTTAAAATTACTCTGCAATGATGTCCATTTTATGAGACATTTTGTCCAAAGTTTTCCGTCTATACAATCCATCAAATACTGATAAGTAGGACTATTGAGGGGTTGGAGAAGGGTTAAGATAAGATAATACTTCATTGTCTCAGACGGAAATTTTTTCTTGGCTGTACAGGACCATAAAAATATCTACAGGTATACATAAAAATTAAATTATATATTTCTCCCATTAAAATTCAATATGAAAAGAAAAGTAAAGCTGACAAAACGTACTTATCACATCAGATGCATCATTTAACCACGGGCAGGAATTTAATTACAAGACCTTTAGACTAGAATTATATAGATACATATTCAAAATAGCAATATAGCATTGAATGTTTATTCTGACAGTAGCTTTATACATGATTGTAAAAAACTTCTTTTGTATCTTTCTTTCTTCGTTTTTTGAGGTACATATCTGCTGCTGTGTGATCTTACAATTTGTGTGGAAAGGGGTGTGATGGGTTGTTTATAATGCTGTTGATCTTTTTTATACTTGTGATCTTATACATTTCATTAGTTCTTGTAAAATCATTTCCAGGGATCTTGCTGGCTTTCTTAATGGTTCTGTCAAATTTTTCTTTCTAGAGGTTAGTAACTTAGAGAGATCTTTTAATAAATGCACACCATAGCATAAATGTCATGATTCTTAGGTATCCCATAAAAGCAACCCCTCAGTTGCCAGTGAACTCTGTAATTAAATCCAATTAAACATGAAGTGCCTTCATTCTAAAACAGGATGCCCACGACTGTCAGTGAAGAGGGATTAACTAGCATTTTATCAATCTGTTCTCAACAATCAGCTTATAAATATTAACTCTGTTTTTTACCTGAAAGAACACAAAGCCCAGATGCCTTTGACAACTGCACACAAAGCACCTTGCTTGGGTGGCTGTTGGTGACCAAGAGGAATATCACGGCGACGACAGCAAGAATCAAGAATATGTATCCAAGAACACTCAGCACTTGAACTGCCAGATACCAGTCTGAGAAGGGAAAAATAATTTGAGATGTCAAGGTTACGTTATAGCCTGTGTATACAAAGATCGACGCTCAACCACAGTTGATTTTAAAATATTGTGTTTTTAACTTATTAAATTGTTACTCGCACGTTGTAGTTTTTTTTACCTTACTTACTACTTACTTACTACCCATTACGCCATCTGGCGTTTAGGGCAGCGACAAAGGATCTCCAGCTCTGTCTGTTTTGGGCCATCTTGGTCAGCGTTCCCCACGAATGATTCCAGGACTTCATTTCAGACTCTACTGTGCATCTCCAGGTCTTACCTTAGGGGACCATTAATGTATTACCGTATGTAAAGTTGAAGTCAGTACTTTTTTTCAAGCCATGAAACTGTGAAAAATGGATATTTATTATAACATGAGTAAGATTGCACTCAAAACAAGAGAGCGTTTTTCTGTTTACACTTCAGCATAACTTTTGACGGACAGATTTCCATTCATAATTTCTTCTCTCTTGAACAATGATTAAAATTTCAGCCCCAACATAAATAATGTTAGACATATATAATAATGGTTGCATTGGCTCTGGCTGAGTGTTTTGTTTAAACAAATAAATCTTTCGTTTAGTAAAATTGTATTTCAGAGTTGAACAATACTATACTTATGTTCTTCCTTTAGCTTGCTTACATCTTTTCTTCACAGAGATTTTCATCTGATCTACAAAAGCTGAAGGGCAGTCGCATTAATTTTAGACACTCAAGAGAATGTTTAGTACTTTCAACTATAAACCCCACCTTAAAAACTGATCCTTAACAATAAGTCTGGTGAAATAAGGATCACGGGAAAAATACTATAATAGCAAAAATGAATATCATTACAAAAGTTGTTCTGTCTCTTTTTTTCCCCAAAACTGTACTTTAATTACAAACTCCAACAAACAAATGAATGATCCCATTTGGAACTGGATTTTTAAAACAAAAGTGTCATCAGCATCATTCCATAATCACTCAAGGCAATTTCTGAGGTTTTCCTTACAAAATTGTGATTTGAATGAGACATAATTAGGGGGCATACAATATGCACAGTCTTGCCCACAAAAATAGCAAAACTGGTGATTGAGATGCGGAAATTTTTTAAAGTATGAACTGTTAAAAACAATCAGGAAACAACAAATGCAGCAACACCTGAATAGACATAAACGGGTCTTGAACATCTAGCTCTCACTGGCAAAATTGAAGGCAAACGAGGCAGGGGTAGGCCCAGAACAACCTACTTAAGGAACCTAAACAAATGGGTACCAGGGAAAGATCAGGGAAACTTAGATTTTTTAAGAGCATCCGAGCAAAGGAATGAATGGAGAACAATGATCCCCAATGTCTGTCGCAGATCTGGCACTGGATGATGATGAGGATGAACTTCACAATGTACGAATTTAAAACTACCGAGAGATATAGACAAAGTTGGATAAATGGGTCCAAATTTTACAAGTCCTATGCTATGATTGTTTGATATAGTCTCGCATATGGGCTTTTTTATTAACATCTGCTATGATCAGCCGGGTTTTTCCCCAGCTGAGAACCATTTCAGCTTCTTTTGCTCCATCATGGCTCACCATCTACTACAAGTATATCACGACTTAACTTTGCAGATGTGTTGTGCAATATTTAATCTCTGTTGAAGAGGAAGCGTGCTGACACACTAGGTGACAATACTGCATTTGTGTGCTTTCACACGACCCAGACGCCCCACATGCAACTTAGTAGGGCTATGTGTAGGCTACGACAATCAATGAACATTTCTGTGATTTTTTTTGCAATTTAAACGCATCCTTGGCCAACACTTTAATAACACTCAGCTTTTATTCTACAGGTTGTTGGTCTACACTCATACAGTGCTTAAAAATGCTCTCTCTCTCTCTCTCTTTTTCTCTCTCATCACTGCTACTTCAGTAAACAAAATTTTCAGTTGTGTTTATTAATTAGGTCAAGACTACCTTCACTGGTGCTAATTTTCGTTTTCATTATGCAATTAACTCTTTCCGGACGTATCGCCAATATATCGGCTGTGATACTGATAGGGTGCCTCAGTATTGTTTTGTTTTAACACGATCCGTCATTTATAATTACTTTTTATTGCTATTGAAAAACTCGGAAAGGATTTAGGAAACAAAAACATCTAGTTTCAATTTGCTAAAGCGTGGGTTTGGGGAAAAACGAGTGAATTAGTTCTTGTGGTCTTGCATAAACAAAACGATGTAACCGGACTGAGTGTAGATATCATAACTCAAGAAACAAAAAGTGTGTCAAAATTTATTTTTCTCATCACCATCGCCATTTTTAACCCTTGAAATGCATACTTCTATGTTCAAAATTAATCCTTGTTTCATATCGGGATGTAATCTTCATTCAATTTCCTTCATTGATATATGTTACATTTTGAGTGATGGTTATGCTTCTATGAAGTTAATTTGTACACCACCTGCATATCCAAATCGAGCCACAAGTTAATTATGTCTGGACCCAAAAAAAACTACGTCCGGAAAGAGTTAATTGTTTTCGCTATTTGCATGTTTTGAATACAAAGAATTAATATATAAAAGAAAAAATTCAAGACCTGAACATGATCTGTTTGCCATGATGAGAGCGTTCTTTGCTACAGTGGAAACCATATAGGGTGAACCGGGGCAATTCCACCCACAACTTTGCTTAAATCACTCTCATGCACTACCTAATTGTGATATCTGACTAGAATTTGCAACAAATTATACTCTGAACATAACATTCAACATAAACATAACATTAGACAATTCTGACTAATCCTATTCAAGAAATAGAGTTTTAACCCAAAAAAATTGTAAACACTTTAATCGGGGAAATTCCACCCACCTACAAAATTCTGATCAAACATGTCCAACATACTTCAATGAAAGACAAAACTTTCAAAAACATTTCTCTGGTTTCCTGTGGGTTTGTCAGTAGTCACTACTATCCTTGTCATCATCACCACTGTCTTTCTGGCATCTTTGAGGCAGCACAGTCCTTGTCGCGACTATCGTCATCAATTTCAGACTCTGAGACGGAGTCCACAACTGTTGTTTTCTTTACCTTGGTTCTGGTGGGAACAGTTCAGAAGGCCTTCCTTTTCCTTTTCCTTTTCCCTTTTCTTCTTCTCCTCCTCCTCTGTTATTCTTTGAATGAATGTACTCAAAACTGGTCAAACTTTTGCCATACTGGCGTTTAACAGATTTCCGGTTGTTTTTTTCTCTCTTGGCTTGTAACGTAGGGGAAATTTTAAAAATAAAAAAGTAAAAAGTCCTTTATGCTGGGTCTGGTTGCTGGTTCCACTGGGGTCACTGGCCTCAATGGTGCAGGTGTTGATGAGGTTGATGGCAACCCATTGTACCAGACTGCACAGCTGCGATTGCGTTCTGCATTGCCTCCTTGCAGTATGGCGCTCTCTTCTTTACATAATTCCTCACCATTCTGTAAAAAAAATAGTCAAAATTGTTATAAATTTATGCTCAACATTATCTGGGGGTAAATCCACCCACCAGGTGGGTGGAATTGCCCCAATGTAATAAAATGAAGTTTAATGGCCAACATTTTACTTGTAGGTTGCTATGAATGAACTAATAGGAGGTAAAATACCTAAGAGAAGATCATAACTTACAATCAATGCGAAAAAAGTATGGTTGTGAAAATCCACCCACCAGGTGGGTGGATTTACCCCAACTCTACTATAGATTCATGACCATAACAGAAGAATTTTCTTTTATAATGGCTTTATTGGTGCATAAAATGAAGACAAATAAACACTTAATTGATTTTAAAAGATACTTTAGACTTTCATCCACCATAAATACACAAGGTCTAGCATCAAAAAGTACGTTAGGTCTACTTACTTTGCTGATGCTTGAGGATGCTCTTTAAGAAGGCTGCTGTTCAACATCCACAGGTTCAAAAGAAGATGAAATAGGAAAAGGAAGTCCAGGGGATGTAACTCAATAATCATGAGTGGCAAAACTCTCCTCAAATGACTTGCAGAGTTTTGTCCCTTAAAATTGTCCAAAGTGGGTGGAATTACCCCGTGGGTCAGGGATTTTTTAAATCCCTGTTTTTTTCCTACTCTTTCAACTCTTTGTCTCTATAAAAAGTTATCGGCAATAACAGGGCCTCATCGGAGCCGAATCGGTTATAGTTATAGCAGGGACAAAGGCTAGTCAACAATGTGTAAAAAGTAAGAGAGAGAGAGAGAGAGAGAGAGAGAGAGAGAGAGAGAGAGCGAGCGAAAGAGAGTAACGCGGTGATGGAGCACGCCCACGCAAGCCATGCCGCTGCAAGCACGCAGCAGGTGAAGCGAGAGAGGGCTGTGCAGACCTGCCACATGGCCATGAGAGAGGGCTGCGGTGTACTTGTGGCAAGGGAAACTACCCACGAATAAATACAGTGGATTAGTTCACAAATGCTTCCTTCCCTTGCATTTCTGATATAACAGGGATCTGTTATAACAGGATTTTTTTCTCTGGTCCCACCATCCCTGTTATATCAGGTTTCAACTGTATGTGCATGCTAGACTGTACTGTTTCTTTTGGTTTCCATAATATTTCCGTCCTAGTTTTTATTTGATAACACAAGTGTCCATATGTTATGTCATGCCGTTTCTGATTAAGGTCCTTTATTTTTTTTAGGCTAAACATTTTCTCAAAACTTCAAAAATGACTTAGAAGATTTAAGAATGATGCTGGCAATATAAGACGAGTCTATTTAAATTTATTTTGTGTGAGGTACTGGCACACCAGACAGGTCTGGTACTGAACTGACAGAATAGTGGGCCTACAAACTCACTGTGAAACATGCATGCAGTTGAATGTAATGTGTAGGCCTATAGTCTAATTTAAATTGATGGGGATCATGAATGATAGTGAAAAAGGGAAAAGAAGTAGCCTACTCAGACTCAGTAGAAATAAATCAAACCTATATGAGAAAGACAGCTGAATGGATATTCTGGACTATTCTGGACTAAACCCCCTCTAAGCCTCTACTCTTTGTTCTTGATGAGATAGATCTAGTCTATATAGATATCTAGAAAGATATTAATATTAAATATTTTCAGTATCAACAATTTAATTTGACGGTCTTACTTGGTGAATCACCAGATGCTGGGATAAGCTGACATTGGAGAAAGTCGCAAAATGTCACAGACCACAGTCCATAAAAGCTATGAGGAGGCATGGTGAACCACCAGTTTGTTGCCATCGCAATTGTGTACGCAACAGCTGCAAGAAAGAGAAGCACAGCAGCATTGGCATTGGCGAAATATAAGCTTTGATGCCTACAGCAGCAACAAATTCGTTTGAGCAAATCCATTCTCCTCTCAAAGCTCAACTCAACTTTGAACCTAATAGGGAAGTTCTTACACAAGCATTATATTTCGAAGGAACTTGGAAGGTTTGACAATAAAATTATAATTATGTTGGCAACAGCAAAAACTAAGAAGTAGAAGTTCACGAGTAACCGTAGCCGTAGTAACGTGAATGGAATGGACCATCTTTTCTTCTCATGAAATGGTTAACTGTTCACAAAGTCTAACATTCTGTTGCCTCTTTAGGCTAATAGCCTGAATGTCCGTTTTAATTTTTATGAACTGTTTCTAGTCCATGCTGATGCGGGGACCAGCTGTGCATGTCACCCCATGGTGAAAAACATGGGCACGATGGTGGTGGGTCCAAGCTTACTACAGAAAATTGTAATCAATGGGAGCGGACCTAGGTCAAGGGAAACCACTCTGTTATATTAAACTGCTAGCTAGCAGCGCAATGTGAATGAACTTCAGAAGTTAGAAATTTAGTAGTTCAGCTGTGGAGTCGAACTTTCGCATCTCTGGCGGACTTTGACCAGATTTTGTGTAACAAAATTGCAGGTCACACAACAAGTCATAGATCTAATACCTTGCGTGCTTGAAAGATTATAGAAGCCGCAATAGGAATGCAGGGGTCAGAAAACTAAATCTAGTGAATTATTTATACGGTAGAACCTTTTGACATGCAATTCATTGGAGCAATGGAAGCAGCAGGACGACGGTTGCGTCAACTGCATGGAATATTTGGTCGCTCCCTGAGGATTTATGAAAGTGAAAGTTCTTCCCCTCTGCAAATTCGACTGTTGTCTGAATCGACAGGTTCAGGTGATGTTCATGGTTTTATTTTCTTTACGTCTTTACATGAGTGTGCTACCAATATTCGTCATGAGCCATTCATTCATTCATATAATTTAGAACGGGCCAATTTAGAATCTATTACTCTAATTAAAAAGGCCCTGCCCAGTGCCCATTCATTGGTGATTGGTTGGGGGATGGGTGGTTCTCTAGATCTAGATCTAGAGTAATAGAGGGGGAACCCATTAGCATTAGCTAGCGCGATCGCGGGTAAGATTGAAGAATACCGGACCAGCGGACTGACTTTGCCTCTAGAAAATCTATGTCTCAACCATACGAATTCATAATTTTCCCGTTTTTAATGTCTCAATGGAGAATCTCGGACAGGTAGATTCTAGAGATATTTTGTCAGGGGGGAGACCCCCCCTGAACTCCCCATCCCCCCTACCCCACCCCAACCACCCGCCCCACCTACCCCACTTTCTCGCGCAATAATGTATGAGTGGTCCGGTATTCTTCAATCTTCCCCGATCGGGTCGGGTCGTTCGGGTGTTTCAGTGCACACAACAACCTCCCCCAGTGATTGCACCCGACAGAGAAACCTTTATTAACCTCAATGGCTTCCAGGGCTCCTTGCTGCAGTTCCCTGTTGCAGTGCTGCGGCAGCCTGGAATCCCACAAACATGGGTTACATCAATTCAATAACTTTCTAGATCTATTTTAATATATTCTACTCTAAGTCGATGGACTCCATTGTATGATTGTTGTTAATTGTTGATATATTTCGCGCGGAAATGCCCGACCTTGACATTGCAGTGTCAACATGGACAAGTGACTCAGCCTTGTTGTGAATGGCTGTAAACCACCCGATCGTGCCACTCGCAGCCCTGAAAACAAACGCATTTGTTTTTTAACGTCACCGACCGAATCGATTGGTTTGTTCCACGATGGCTGCTTTGCGCCCTCAATTTGGCTAGCCCCAACTGCCAAATCGACCTTACCCGATCGTGCTAGTGGGCACCCCCTATAACAATCCGATTGCCCGACCCTCGGCTTTGAAAACAAACGTGTTTTTAGGGTCACCGTCGGCTTTGTTTGGTTTGTACCAAGGGGGTAGCTTTTCTCCCTCAATCTGACTAGCCCTGCTTACCAAAGCGAACTGAATCATGAACCGAACCGATTAAAGTGCCAATAATCAGGGTTGGATTGATTTAAATCAGGTTGATTTAAATCAGTTGATTTTTAAAATTTAAATCGTCATTTTAAAAATAAAAATCAGTGATTTAAATCACTTTAAAAAAAAATTATTTTTATTCAGTTTTTACATATATTTCAACATTCAGAATTCCTTTCCCTTGGTTTCATAAAACAGATATAAGGTTTAGTAGACTGATATAATCATGCTTAAAAGTCTGCTTTCCCCCCTTTCAGTGTAAAATAATACAGTATTCAATTTTAAACTTTTTTTCCATAATTGAAATCAGAGCTGGGTTGATTTTTTAAATTTTAATCAACTTAATTTTTAAAATAAAAATCGGTGATTTAAATCACTTTTTAAAAAATGTATGCTGTTTTTACATGATATTTAAACATTCAGAATTCCTTTCCTTGGTTTTATTAAACAGATTATGTATAGGTTTAGTAGACTAATAAAATCATGCTTAAAAGTCTGCTTCCCTCCCTGTCACTGTAAAATAATACAGTATTCAATCTTTTTTTTCATAATTGAAAACCAGGGTTGGGTTGATTTAAATCAGGTCAATTTAAATCAGTTGATGTTTTAGATTTAAATCAACTTGATTTTAAAAATAAAACTCAGTGATTTAAATCACTTTTAAAAAATGTATTGTTTTTACATCTTTAAACATTCAGAATTCCTTTCCTTGGTTTTATAAAACAGATATAAGGTTTAGTAGACTAATATAATCATGCTTAAAAGTCTGCTTTCCCCCCTGTCAGTGTTAAAATAATACAGTATTCAATTTACTTTTTTTTCATAATTGAAATTACCATTTTCTTTTTATTTTTAGACAAACACAAGCGCGCACACACACACGGTAATAAAATGCAAGTTTATCTGTGCATAATTACCCCCTCCCCCCTTCCTTTTAGACTGACATTTTCTTCATTTTTTGTCTGTAGCCATAATTCACTGATATAGCAGATTAAGGCTTTCTTTTGCAGTTGCTTAAATTAATCATTAGTTAAAATAAAGACAATGCATTCTGCACTAAAAGAACATACTTTTAACCCACAAAAATCCCAAACTATGTCGACATTTGAAAAAGAATTAAAAAATTTTTTAAAATCCGATTTAAATTTAAAAAATCTGATTTAAATTTAAAAAATCGATTTTTAAAATTTTTATTGAAAAAAAAATAAAAAATCACCAACTCTGCCAATAATGGGCACTGGGTTAAGAAATTAAATCTAAAATTTAAAACAAAGTGGGCTAGGCCCTCCTTTGGCCTTGCTAAGTCAATTTTTAAATCATTTTTTAGTTTAGGAGGCGGCCCCCACCTTGCTTGCTTGGGCCAACCCGGATTGAGAGGTTTTAAGGTCTACAACATCCCAGCAGACAGACCGAGATCAAATTTGTACTCAATAAAAATTTGTCCCCACTCAGGCATCAAGCTAGATCATGTCTCAGACTACTTGTGACTCAAACCAGTAGTAAAGTTATCTTGCACCGATGAGACATTAGCGTTAGACTCTACACCACAGACACAAATGCTAGTGTCGTGAGCCAGGTTGAGTGAAAAGATTTAAAATTTGAAAAATTAGCCTTTGATCTTGATTCCAGGATATGACAAGAGCTGTAATTGCATTTTAAATAAAATATTTGAAAGTACCATGCCGTTTAGAGAAGTAAGTTAGTTCAGCTGACGTACTATATATATATATATATTTATAATTTATTGTGTTATTTTATAATGCATTGTGCAATGACGTTATAATAGAATTAAAATATTGAGTGTACACTTCAATGTATGCCATTTTATCCTGCTCTTGCAAACTGAATGCATGCCTTTCTGCTACAGTGGTGTGTAAGTCAAGCTGCCGACCCTTGGCAGGGGTCCTCAAGGCTAAGGGGGTAGAACACAAATGGTTTACTGTTTAAAATACACACATCAACACATTTAGGCCTCTGTGTCCACCTGCTTCTCATCTGTCCCTGTCTCTTTCCCTTGCTCCTTTTGAAATTGATTTTCAGAATGGCCATTACTGTCCATTTTTGACATTTGAACACAAATCCAGCAGCCTGTAACTACAATTGAAGCAAAATTGTGCTGTTGTTGAGATTCCAGAGAAATGAGGCCCAGAGAGAGAAAATTATAATGCCCAGATTGCAAACTTCCCACCATCTTACAATGCCCATATATATGTGGTGTTTGATAAAGTAATGATGGAGTAACGCGTCACATATTTTCAAAAGTCTTTTAAGTAATGAAAATAGTATTCTATTTATATATATGCAAACCTGGTACACTTTCTTTTGAAAAGAATAATTGTTCTGAAAATGTTGTATCCCCAACTCAAGTCTGGCCTAGCCTTTACTTTTTACTTTTTCCAGCTTCTGTTACCTTATGGTGGTGTGTGGTTGGTGGATGCTCTGGTGTGGTTTGCTCAGGTCTTTCCCATCAAATATCTTTTATCCTTTTATCTCTTCTCCTATATTTCATGACGGAAAATGAGACCTGGAAATTGAAATGAGGACTCAAAAGGCAAATAAATTGCAGTAACAACCAATTTTGTCACCACTCTACGAACCCATCTCCTATCAGACAACTTTTCAACAGAAAACTTATCAACAGCTTTTTTCCCTTCCAACACTGATTTACCAAAACCAGACATGGCGGTTAAACACACCCCCACAAAAGGAAGATTATGCCTGTGAGATGAAATGCTTTGATGAAATGCTTTGAAGAAAATTAATTAATGTCTTTAGGAAAGACTGATGAAGGAACTTAAACCTGTAAATTTTTTTACATATCGACAGACCGAAGGGCTAGAACCCAAATGGCCGCTGGATCGGAAAAGTTAAGTAAAGTAAAGTATATAAAGGAACAAAACTGTCCAAAATCTAACAGGGTTGAAACTGGTCCTGGAACAACATAGAGAGCAATGAAGAATCAAGTTGTTTGGTCATCTGATAATGTCACCAAATCAACCAGCTGTAAAATTCCAACTTGGCTGGATGGTGTCAAGGAAGTCCTCCAAAAGAAAATTGCACCTCCTCTTGACTTTCATAGATATACAATGCCAGAAGAAAAAAGAAAAATCTATCCTTCTTTTCCTGGTTCTGCCTCTTCCTCTATATATGTCTATTGATTTCTGCTCAAGTATAAGTCTACGATGCTTTTGCCGTCTTGTTGCTATATGGTCTGGTGGTAGTGTTGACAAATGTCTCAACCATTTTATCATATTTTATGCGTTCTTTATTGATCCATGTTATTTTAAGCAGAAGAAGCTGAGCCACGTTGTTATAATATATTTGAATATCTCATTTTTCACCCCGTCTCTTCTTGCGAGTTTCAATGTTTTTATTAGGCATCTCATTTCACAGGTGTTTATTTTTCTTGGCGACTCTTATTTTCCACGCTTTGGCTTGGTAGCACTGTGTTGGTATAAAAAGCAAAGGTGCTGTGAATGAGTTTTTGTTTTGTGCCCATTGTGATCATGTTGAGGTGCGAAACTGTAATAGTGCCATTTGGTAAGTCACTGCATTGGCCTTTTTTATTCTGGTTTGTATTTCTCTGTCTATCGTTCTATCTGGAGTGAACTTGCTTTCCAGGTATGAACTCTTCTACTTTCTTGATTTTGCATTTGTGAACTCTGATGTTTAGTGGTTCAAGTATTTTGCTGATTTTCATCGCCTCAGTTTTGTGCTGATCTTCATGTTGTGGTCTTTGGAACTTGTGTTCGTTTTATATGTGTTCTTGGAGGATCTTTTCGATGTTGTTTAGTAGTATACATGCTCTAATCATCAGCAAAAAGCAGCTCATTGATTGTGTTGTCTTCTGGTTTAGCTTCTCTGCTGTTATTTTGTCCATGTTCGTTATGAGTTAGGGGAACAACACACATCCTTGTCTTTTTCCTGATCTTACTTGGAACCATTTATTCTTTCCATGTTGTAGTATCTTTAGTGTTTTGGTGTTTTCATAATGCCGTGATGTTGTCTGGCATTTGTCTTCTGATTCCGTATTCTTCCAGTTATCTACAGTTTTGTCTAGATTTACTCTGTCAAGGGCCTTTTCTTGGTCCACAAAGACTGTTTAGTTCTTGATAATTCTGTTGTCTAAGTGCGAATTATATTGCATGCATCTGCAACTGTTCCATTTTCTGGTGTATATATTTCGAGCTGCAGTCTTGTCCTTTCTTCTACTGTCTTTGTATCTCCCAGTATAACTGAGAAGAGAGATTCTTCTATAGTAAGATGTGTTGCAGTCTTTTTTATTTCCTTCATTTTTCCATATTGGTATATATATAGCTCTTTGCCAGTCTTCCGAGGTCCGACGTTTTTTCTGTGCTACATTAAAGATTTTTGTTAGCTTTTTGATGTAGGCCCAGTAATGTACGAAATTTTACTTGTCATCAGTTTGTTGACTTTGCCGCTCATATTCTAAAGTCCTACTCTCTCTTTTCTATCAATATTAAGTCAACATGTTTTATGTTTTTTATGGCTCAGGTCTTTTTTGACTCATTTTGTCTCTTTTTTTTCCAGGTGGAAAGAAAGTGAGCATTGGAGATGTCAGCAAATTTGTTGCTGACGCAAAGTATCCAGAACTGGTTCCTAGGAAATATTGTAAGTTATTTTCTAGTAAAGATAAATAAATAGTTCTCTACTCGTAACTAAGTTAAATTATGCTATATTGTCTTTTCAACTGGTATAGTCAAATAAAGGGCAGGACTGGGTATGAAATAATGAAAGTGGCAGTTATGAAAATAGTCATGTTACCTTAATGCCTTTTTCATAGAACAATTTTCTGTAGAAGTGTCTATTTTATGGCAGGGGTTTTATTTTGTTCAATTTGGGGTTTAATGATTAAATTATTAGTTTCCTTTCAGTTTCTCTTACAGGAGGTTTTTAATTATTTTTTTTACTGAAGTTCAGAACTTTGCAAAATGTTTGAATTTTTTTCGTCTCATGTTGTTTTATTCTGACACTCTGTGCATCAGTTTATACAAACTTTTTATCTTAACATGTTCTGCTAATTTATCTGCCTTGTTTCATATGATTTCATATCTTGTTCTAATCACATATTTTCAGTAAAAGATCAACTTCCACAATCCGTCCTGAGACATCTGAGATGGATAATGCAAAAGGTCTGTTTCACAATTGTTTTTGTTCCATCATGGTATGGTTAGGAAAATTATAAAAAATAAAGGACAGTTTTCTTTTGTTTTGCACCCCCTCCCCCCCCCCCCCAAAAAAAAAAGCAAAATCAGAACAAGACTATAAGAAAAATTATCTCTCCCCCCCAAAAAAAAAAAATATTAAAAAATCAACTTATTGATAACATTTAGAGAAATTACAGCAGAACACTTGATGACTGATAATGATGCTTCCTTCGCTTGAGGCTTTGTTCAGTATGAACCTTGAAGTAACACAGCTACTAGACACAGCTGCTCATGGATTCCACCCCTACATCTTCATATTTGGCCCTGAGAAATTGGGACCTGATGCCTTGAGTATGCATGAAGTGCCTAATTCAACTTTGAAGAAGTGGATATGCCACCAGTGTGACAGAAATATGTTAAATCAGTCTTTAAAAGTAGTGTGATTTATTCATCATAAGATATATGATATTTGGATGCTTAATATAGGATCTACCTGAAAACTCAAATATATTTTGATCTTCGTATTTGAATAATATTGCTTTAGTTTTGTTGTAAAATTTGATTTAAAGTTTCTAAATCTTATATGTATGCTCATATATATTGTAAAACAATCAGGATTCCCTTGGACAAGATGTCTTTCTCATCGGACCACCAGGGCCATTACGCCGACAGATCGCCTTGATGTACTTGGTGAGAAGATTTTATGATCCTGTTATGGAAGTTTTATATTTACTTAAGGGGGCTGGGGAGGGGGGGGCACTATGCCAGGGCCCTTTTGTGTATGAAATGTAGAAGTGACATATCATCATCATCATTGCCTTTCTCACCCTGCACCAGGGTATAGGCCACGGACAAACACCCCCCACTTTTCTCTATCCTGGGCTAGCCTCTTGATGTTATTCCATGTCTTCTCACTTTTCTGTACATCGATTTCTGTGATTCTTCTCCAAGTTCCACGAGGTCTTCCCCTTGATCTCTTGCCCTGTGGGTTCCAATCCAAAACTTTCTTTGTTATGCAGCTGCCTGACTTCCTGAGAGTATGTCCAATCCATCGCCACCGCCTTCTTCCTACCTCATCCCTGACTGGGATCTGTCTTGTTTTCCTTAACACTTCCACATTGGTGACCCTGTCTGTCCATCTGATCCTCAGTAACTTTCTAAACACCTGTTCAAGAAAACCTGGATCCTCTTTATACAAGTCTGCGATGCGTTCCATGCCTCACATCCATACAACAGGACCGACTTCACGTTTGAATTGAAAATCCTCAGCTTTGCTCGAAGTGAGATCTCTCTGGTCTTCCAAATCCTATCCAAAGATATGAAAGCAGCCTGTGCTTTTCCAATGCGGGACTTTATTTCAGCACCTGTTCCTCCCTCTCTGTCAATTATGCTCCCAAGATAACAGAAGGATTCAACGTTTTCTAGGGCCTTTCCTTTTATTGTGACCTGCTCCTTTCGTTGTGCATCTGTCCTTAGTACCTTTGACTTTCCGGGGTGGATCCTCAATCCAACAGACTCCGATAGGCTGTTTAATACTGAAGTCTTTGCTTGTATCTGTTCCTGGGTGTGCGACAGAAGCGCCAAGTCGTCTGCGAAATCCAGATCGTCCAACTGTGTCCATGGTGTCCACTGTATACCATTTCTGTGTCCTCTGGTGGTTTCCTTCATCAGCCAGTCGATTGCCAATATGAAGAGGAACGGTGATAGTAAGCATCCCTATCTCACTCCAGTCTTGATGTCAAAGCTGTCCGTGAGCTGGCCATCATGTACAACCCTGCAACTTGTCCCTTCGTACATGCTTTTGATGAGGTTCACCAACTTCTGTGGGATTCCATGGTGTCTCATTATCTTCCATAGTGTCGCTCGGTCTATACTGTCAAAGGCCTTCTCGTAGTCAAGGAAGTTGACAATCAGCTGGGAGTTCCACTCCAGGGACTGTTCCACAATAATCCTCAGCGTGGCAATCTGGTCGGTGGTTGAGCGATTTTTCCGGAAACCGGCCTGTTCATCCCGCAGTCTTGGATCCGTTCCTGTCTTGATTCTTTCCAGAACGATTCTGTTGAAGACCTTACCTGGTATTGAGAGAAGAGTGATCCCTCTATAGTTGCTGCAGTTGCTGAGATCCCCCTTTTTTGGAAGCTTCACGAGGTGTCCTTCTTTCCAATCCTTTGGGAACTTGCTCTCATTCCAGATCCTGGTAAACAGTGGGAGTAGGATGTCTGCCGTCACATTGGCATCTGCTTTTAGGGCTTCAGGTGGAATCTGGTCAGGACCGGCCGCTTTACCTTTGTTCAGCTTCTTAATGGCATCCAAAATCTCTTGTTTTGATGGAGCATCACAGCAGATAGGTAACTCATTTCTTGCTGGCAGTATGTTTGGTGGGTTACTCGGTGGTGGTCTGTTCAGGAGACTGTTGAAATGCTCTACCCATCGCTTAGACTGAGCTTCCTTTCCAAAAATGCTTTTCCCGTCTTGGTCCTTTACAGGTACTTCAGGTTTCCCATATTTTCCAGCAAGTGTCCTTGTGGTCTGGTAAAGGATTTGCATGTGCCCTCCTATCGCTGCTTCCTCTGCCTTCTCTGCAAGCCTGTTTATGAATTCCTCCTTGTCTTTTCTTATTGATTTCTTGACATCTTTAGCTGTTGTCCTGTACTGCTCCAATACATCCGCTTTTGATCTTCTTGTTCTACTTGCATTCGCTTCTGCCTTCAGTTGTCTTCTTATCCTAATTAGATCCAATGAGTGTTGGCTAATCCATTCCTTGTGCTCCCATTTCTTCCCACCGAGTACTTCTTGACATGTTGATGTAAAGACTTCTTTGACCTTGGTCCAGTGTGTATCCACCTCCGTGTCCTCCCCGTCAAGATCAGCCAGAGGTTGAAATCTGTTCCTCAGCTGCAGTTGAAACTCTTCTCTCTTGTGTCCGTCCAAGAGACTTACTTGGAACTTGGTTCTTTTGATTCCTGTGCTGGTTCCGTGCTTTTTGAGTCGTAGCTTCAGTTTTGCCAACAGCAGATGATGATCCGATCCAACATCTGCCCCTCTCTGTACTTTGACATCTTCCATTGAACGCCTGAACTTACGAGAGATACAAAAATGATCTATCTGGTTCTCCGTCACTCCATCTGGCGAAACCCATGTGGCTTTGTGGATCTTCTTGTGGGGAAAAACAGAGCCTCCAATAACAAAACTGTTGAAAGCACATATATTTGCGAATTGCTCCCCGTTCTCATTCATTTGTCCCAAGCCATGTTGTCCCATAATTCTTTCATACCCAACGTTGTCCTGACCAATCTTGGCATTGGCATCTCCCATTATGATGTTGACATCCTTCCTTGGTAGTTTGTCGATGACCCCCTGGAGCTGGCTGTAAAAGGCATCCTTGTCTTCATCTGAAGCATCATTTGTTGGGGCGTAGATCTGTACTATATTCATGTTGATGTTCTTGCTCCTTGTAGTGAATGAAGCCATGATGATCCTTTCCCCGTGTGGTTCCCATCCTCTAAGTGACTTCTGTGCATACTTACTCAAAATGATTCCCACTCCCTCCGCATGGTACTTATCTTCCCTCCCTGAATACAATACTTGTTCCCCCGAGCTGAGCTGCTTCTGTCCAGACTGTATCCAGTGTGTTTCGCTGACTCCTAGTATGTGCAGCCTGTATCTCTTCATCTCTTGTACTACTTGAGAACTCTTTCCTGCTTCATACAAGGTGCGAACATTCCACGACGCAATCCGGAGAGACTTGTTCGACAGAGAAGGTTTCGGGTCAGAAGAGTCCTTTCGGCTTTGTCGGCTTTCCTTCATTGTTCCTGCTGATACAGAAGCTCCTCCGTCTCCCAAGATCGAAAAATAAAAAGCTGTGTTTGTCCGTGTTTCTGTAACTTACTGTTTTTTACTGGGTTGGGTAGTTGGCCCTCCGCAAACTGGCACTTTTCGGGCGACCAGACCTGTGCACTTTTAGTCGCCTCTTACGACACGCAGTATCACGGCAGGTGTATTCTTTGCTCCCCCATAGTAAAACTACGGGGCCCCCCACCAGCAGAGGTGAGAAGTGACATATGCGTCACAAAATTGGTAATTTAATAGTAGTAATAGTTATAGACTGCATTTACATAGCACTCTATCCCATACAAGTGTAAGCTCTTTCGAAAGAAGTTAACTTTTTAAACATTGTTCTTCATCTAATGAATGGACTTTCGGTGAAAGAGACCTGTTTTCGACAATTGCCGAAAAGTAATTTGACGTCTAAGTTATCGGAAAGGAATGTACTCAAGCTGCTGCCAGCAAGTCACCAGCACAGTGGCTGCGACCATGAGCCGCTGGGAGCGACTTCCTGGAGATAAGAAATTGAAGCTTTAATAGCTGTGGAGATTTAACACTTTGCAGTCGCACTGCCAGCAGTACAAAATACCCCATGTGGTCACCCAGCCAGGAGAGCGACTGCAACAGACTTCTCGGGGCTGGTGCAGTTCGGATAATTTTCACCAGCATGTTATTGGGCAGAGTGACCGCAAAGTGTTAATATAATGTGAGAACAATTTATTTTTTGGGTACTTTTTCATATGTTATGAGACGATAATTTTGTAAGAACAGTTATGATCCTTCTAGGACTTATAATTAAAATTGTTTTACTATGGAGGATTTTAAGAATCCACCAATGACTCCTGTTTGCTAATGCTCTAGTCTTTATGTATTTGTTAGTTGGTGCGTTTGCGGGGTTTGGATGCATCATTATGTCTATGATTTTTTGTGAAACTTAAGATCATGGGAAATCGGAATGGAACTGCAGTTAAGGATTTATCTGACTATTTAAAAGAATTAAAAATATTTATATTATTTTCACAATGCAATAACAGTCAAATGATTATTTTTATTTAGATGACCTTATCTTTGTAATTCTACAGCAACTGACAAAGCGGGAGATTGAATATGTGTCATTGTCCAGAGACACGACCGAGTCAGACCTCAAACAACGGAGAGAAATTGAAAGTGGCACTGCATCGTACATAGACCAGGCAAGTTGGATTATTCTTAGAATTTTTAAAGACTACAATTAATTTTCTTTCTTTAAATTTAATAAATTGGTGTTTTGTTTTGTTAGTTGGCATAGTGATGATTTTGCTGCCATCATCATGATGATCATTAGTATTATATATTAGAAGTATACATATGTGTATGATAATTGTAAATTTATCTGGTTGTTAAGAAAGAATAAAACTGGTTCACTCATCAAGTATTCAGCTTTAAGACGAAAAGAGTAAACATTGATTCTCTTTCAAACTTTAGAATAAAAATATTATTTTTCTGCTTTCGAAATGAACTCTTCATTTTCTCTTCTTTAACTGATTTCCTCTTATTTGATTCATAGTGTGCTGTGAGAGCAGCCCTGGATGGTAGGGTTCTGGTTTTGGAAGGGATTGAAAAAGCGGAGCGGAATGTCCTCCCGGTTCTCAATAATTTATTGGAAAACCGGGAGATGCAGCTGGATGATGGCAGGTTCCTTATGGCAGCTGACAGATACGATAAGCTCCTAGCTGATCACACCCAAGAGGAACTGGATGCTCTCCGTCTTGTTAGAGTCAGTAAGGACTTCAGGGTCATTGCCCTTGGACTTCCAGTACCTCGTTACCAAGGCAACCCTCTGGATCCACCTCTGAGATCTAGATTTCAAGCACGGGACATCCATCCTACTCCTTTTAAGGTGAGAAGTCCCATGGGTAAGCTCAGTTTCGTTCCCTGTCCTATTGTTTTGTTCACTCTGAATGATATTGTGTGTGTTTGTGTTTGTGCGTGGGTGGTGTGCACTTGTGTGAGCATAGCATGTTCTTGTCTCTGGGTGTGTTTTGCTTATGTGTTAGAGAAAGTGAGAGAGCTCATGTTTATTCATGCATTTTACTACGCATGAATATGTGTATATCATGTTCGTGTTATGTTATTGCAAAGCACATTGAACACTTGCTGAGTAGAAATGCTGCATACAAATGTGGTCCCTATTGATATTGCAGCAAATCATTGACTTTTGCAGGCTGAATGCGTCTTCATGCTATGTCGTACCAAGACAGAAGGAAACAAATGTTATAGAATGATGTTGGATTAAAATCATTTTCTAACTCCTTTTGTTGAATGAGATACCATTCAGAAAAGAATGGGACCAGTGATGTTTTCCATAGTTTGTATTCTGCTGGATGTCATCTTTTGTTTCCTGATAGATTTGTTGATTTGAGATAAATTATTTAATACTGTTGATACTCTGTTGATTTGTCTTGATGATGAATTGTGCAATTAAATTCTTTTTCCTCAGGAAATGCTTGGAGAGCTCCAGGAATTAGCACCAAATGTTCCTTCAGAGAGGTTTGTGTTATATTCCTTAATTTGAAAATACACATTTCCCTTTTTACTTTCAATGAGTTCATTTTTTTAGGAATTATATGCGGAGAGGTCATAGAACTGAACTCTGTACTATATGTTTAAAAAAATGATAACCTTTAAAAGCTGCTACTTGACACAGATTGTTTGACAAAGGATAAAGGACAAGATGTAAAAATAATTTTAATACTTATTTTTATGGATTTTGTTCAGTCTTCTTAATACAATTAAGTAAGTCCATAAGTTCTCTTTTTTGTGTCACTAATCAAATACAGTTAGTATAACGATAAACTTTTTTGCTCAGTTGGCCAGAAAGTGTACAGAGAAAATACATTCTGTATAGTTTGATCAAAAGGCTACTGAGAATGGTTTAGAGTGATGTGAAACAAGTTTTCCTAACAGGTAACAAACACAACACACTCTATGAATTTCAGATTGGCCCATATGGTATCCTTTGCCACTGCCATGCTTCAGAAAGAGTCCTCATCCCTTGGGCTGCCAGATTTCCCTGTGGATAATTTACGACACATAGTCAAAATTTTGGTATGACAGCAATTTCTTTCAAGTTGTCAGTGTTAAGTAAATATTAGAATTAACAGTTTTTTGTGCCTTGTCAGTTTGGGGAGAGATATAACAGTATGTATGTATGTATGTGTGTGTGTGTGTGTGTGTGTGCTTGTGTGTGCCTAATCAGATGTATTTTTTGCAAAATGTATGTGTGAAGACACCAAAGTTTAGGGGAATGTGAAGCATTGGTACTATGTTATTTGTGGTTATGAGGACATTTAGAGGACACTCTAATCTATTGTCAATAAAAAAAAATTTCTAGGTAATCTTTAAGGTTATATTATTGTTGCATATAGACTAGAACTTAGAAATCAAATGTCGCACTTAAGTTTTAACATTTTTTTGTTTCTGAACATTTCAGAATAGCATGCCAAATGCCTCAGATGCAGAACTGCTGCAGAGATTGTACCCCTACTCTGTAATGCTGGGTAAAGAAGGCAAGACTGCTGTGGAAGATACTCTAAAGGTGAAAAGTTCATGGATATTACAATTGCTCTTGTTATTTTTCTCGTGTTGTTCTTTTTTAAAAATTCCTAAAACGACTGGTTTAGAGGTTAGGCTGATTATTATTTTAACCCATTGTTGACTAAGGCCCCTGCCAGAAAGCTGCTCCCCAGGAACTGAGCATTTTACCTGATCACCAGCAAACTGACCAGCAAACTGGGGTAGTGTCAGGAAAATGCTTATAGCTCTTTTATTTGAGGAATAAACCCTCACAAAGTAAATATTTTTGGAAAGGGAATTGAATTTTGAATGTGTTCATGTAGTTTTTGTGCTGTTTGACTTAGTTTGAGAAAAGTTTGAGTAATTTGAAAGAAGGCAATTGAAATTATTTTTTTCCTAAAAATTGAATGACTAAAAATCCCCAAATTCAACTTTTATTTTTCAAGAAAGACACAGTGTCAGCGTATAAAATGTGGAAAATTCAAAGTCCTTTACTTTGAAAAAAAAAATTATTCAAATCTATTGACTATTGCAGAAGTTATGTCAAATTCAAAATAGTCACCAATTTTTTATTTCCAGATGATTTTGGGGGGAGACCAGAAATGAAAATATTGTGAATGTGTTCTATTTGCCATGTATAGATACAACATTTTTGTAAAGGAAATTGAATTTTGAATGTGTTCATGTAGTTTTTGTGCAATTTGATTGAGTTTTAGGGAAGGTTGAGTAATTTGAAAAAGGGCCTTAAAAAAAAAAATTCTAAAAGTTTGACAACTGAAAATCCCCTAATTCAACATTTCAAAAACAAGTTACTCCTACAATGTTTATGTAGAATGTGAAGTATTCAAAGCCCTTATTTTGGAAAAAAAAAAAATTCAAATCCATTGATTATTGCATAAGTTATGTCAAATTGAAAATAGTCGCCAATTTTTTATTTTTGGATGGTTCTTGAGTCAGCCAAAAATGAAGAGATATGTCCTTTTTTTCAATGCATACATACTGAATATGAACTGTTTCCACAATACATAGATTTTGAATAACTGTGTTAGGATTAATTACAAAAAACCCCCCACAACAAATAAAATGTTAATATGTTACACAAAAACAGGCCCTACTTACCCGTCGACGCTTGCTCAAAATTCACATCCAAAGTGAAAACACAATAATCCACAAAAGAAAAACCACAATATAAAACCACACGGGCCACTTATCTTCCACTTCCACTGGATATGAATTGGGCAAATCTTCCTTGGTGTGGATCTGGGTTCTGAATTTTCCTCCTTCCTCCTGGGATGTTATCGCCGCTGACTGCTCTCCGTGTTGACGTGTACCACCGTGGTGGCCTGCAGTCAAAACATTGCCATGCATGCCTGCTGTGATGCTGAGTTCCTTCTTTCTCGCTGGTGACGTCTCCAATCAGGCTGTTGGTGGAGTCTCTATGAAATCCTGAAACCCAGAGCTCTTCCGTCCGGGGTTGAATGCTTGCAGAAGTCTAGGCGTTATCGCCACCATTTTTTCTACCTGAAATATAGACAGAAAAGGGACGAACGGTGGGGAAGGAGTGAAAGGTTACTTTTCGTACACGAGAAAACAAAGATGGCTGTGAAGGTAAATGTTACGCATGTAAATAATATAAAAACAACTAGTCGATCTGAACAACACTACAAATGTCCCTCTGCAAGATTACTATTATCGGATATCTAAAAAGTGCTGAGAGCTTTTCTTTCCGATTTTGGAAGAGAACTCCAATTGTTCATAGCCTAATACTAAAAGTAACAATAACGCCTAATCGTAATACAGTCAGGACTCGTATATATAAAAAAATCTCGGTCAAAATCTCGAACAATACAAGTTTTTCCCATAATGTAATCATTCACAAAGCAGAGAATCACATGATGCTTTCTCTAAATGAAATTTAAAAAAACCCCAAGCATGCAATCAATGGTCATGTGCAGAGATACAAATACAGTAGGCAGTGAAACAGTAAGAAGCGAGGAAAGAATTATAATTCTATGGCGCTACATACTACATACCTTTGAATACACGAGCAGTTCGTGGCTGTAGATTCGTCGTCGTCCACTTGTTATGAAAAAAAGCGTCGACTTCCACGGTGTCATCGAACATCCCGAGAAACCAGTCGTCGTCGCCTTGTGCACGGTCAATAGGATCGGTCGGATGACCAACACTACCGCCGCGCGCCTCAGGCAAGTTGACAGCTCCGTTCACCACCTCATCCCCGTCGTTGTCGCTGAACTCTCCAACCTCAACATCACTACCCTCACTCACATCGTCATGAAAAGATTAGATGCCATTGTTGTAAAACAATACACTTTGCACAAAGATTTTCGCAAGCGAAGTGAAATAGTCCGTCCTTTTCGCGAAAAACGCAAGAAACGAACTGGCAGATAGCGGGGCTTCGAAGCGTCTTCTTGTTTGCGGATGTGACAAAAAATATAGCTGTGCGCATGCGCGGGTGTGTTTTCGGTATTATTTTTGGTAATGACATCACCCCTCGGAGGTTTCCGGTGCTAATTATAGACACTTTGGGTTATTTGTTTTAGAACGAGCCAATGAGAGCACGCGTTGCTCTCATACCCCACGCTAATTTCCGCGGGAATAGCAAAGTAATGAGTCATATTACGACGACTATTTTGAACTGTTATGACGGACGGGGGAATGACCTTTCGGACGGTACCAAACATGATAGGGTAGGCGGCATTGAAAAGCCCGTAACCAAGGCCCGAAAATCGGCAAAATTCGCTGTTCAGAGGAGCTAATGACCTCTGATTTTTTAGGGTAGTCTATAAATACGCTTCTAACACGATAATATTTCATATTTTCAAGTTTCACTTTGATTGGTAGTATTCCAAAATGGATTAAGTACCCATTGTGGAACATACCAAGTCCATCGGTCGCGTGCTCGTCTCGTGATAGAACAAACCCAAGCTGATGCGTACCAAATGCGTTTGCCGGTATGAAAGGATATCTACCCACGGATGCGTATGCCGGTATCAATGGGTTAAATACACATGATCGATTTTGTGCAATAAACTTCTGATTACCTTGAGACTGCTTCGATGCTCAGAATGTTCCTACTATAGCTTAAGTTGGGTGTTTAACGTCCCGACAGAGTACTGAGATAGTTTTTAATGAAAATGAATTTTTTGTGTAACGAAAGTTGTTGCAGTAATATCAGATTTTGCAAACATGTAATGAATATTGCGTTCCCTTTTCATATTCTGAACATTTTAGAAACTTAATTTGAGGTTTCCTGTCTTTCTTTTAGGTTTCTATTATTTCATGATCAGAGATATTTTAATGAGCAGGTAACAGGCTTCTGTTACATCAGGGCTCCTGCACCTGTTCTGAAAAATGTGAGGAAGCACTGACAAGCCTGTATAGATCACCCCCTGTTCTAAATTTTCAAATAATTGCAAAGCTTTAACACACTTTTTCAGAAATTTGAGATTTCCCGTATTGAGTCTGAAGCGCCAACCACAGTTGCAGGCCTTGACCGAGGGGAAATTTCAGCCGGTGTCAGTTTGAAGCATGGAAAGAAAACATTTTCCTTTGAGGTGAGTGACTGGTATAAAAATGACTCATTTGAAAGTTACTTTTTTTTTCAGCCTGTCAAAAGAAGTTAAAAAACCTTTGAGTAGTAAAAAGAAAGGTGGCAAAATACTTTCTTCATTTGGTTCTTTTTTAAAGTATCGTTCACATTCCTATTTAATGAAGTCCGTACCAGATAGTCTTTTGTTTCATCTAAAAAGACCAGGCAGGCTGCTCCAGAAAGTTGCACATTCAAACATCAAAGTGTTGAATTTTTTTACATTGCCCTAACATTTCCCTGCAAACGATAATTTGGTTCATCGTTATTCTTAAAGGTATATTATTGAGCTGAGAAATGGAGAGTGAGGGAAGCAACTATACTCTAGAAATTGTTTATTTATCATGTTTTATACGCAGAACCTGGGGAGAGCACAATGCCTGAATCCTCCTTTATGAGATTTTAAGAATGTTTTATTGTACTGCATTTTACCGGTGCCGCAGGTAACATATTTGGTTAGACTCTCGGACTCGCAACCGTAAGGACGTGGGTTCGAATCCCGTCAGGGACCCGACGTGTCCTTGGGAAAGGCACTTTACACGAATTCTCCTCACTTCACCCAGGTGGGAATGGGTACCTGGCTATAGACAGCGAAAGATCTTGTCAGTTTGTTTGTGTTTGAGCACTTAATCAGCTGCTTGCACTGTATGCTTCCCGGGAAGATGAGAATGTTTCGGAGTGTTCTATGGTTTGCTGGGGTAATAATATAGTGTAAAGTGCTGTTGAGCCTGCTGTTGAGCGGGGATATGCGCTATACAAATGCTATTTATTATTATTATTATTATTATTATAATTATTATTATTATATTTTGACACTACACTCAGAAGACGTGAGTTCAATTCCCAAGTGTGTGTGTGTGTGTTTTTTGTTTGTGTGTGTGTGTGTGTGTGTGTGTGTGTGTGTGTGTGTGTGTGTGTGTGTGTGTGTGTGTGTGTGTGTGTGTGTGTGTGTGTGTGTGTGTGCCTCAGTGTAGACCAGTAAACTGATAATCTCTGTGATCTTTAACCCTCTTAGGTACCTGCAGGAAGTCTGGACAGTCAAGCTCTCAGTGCAGAGAGTGTTTTTGTGAACACACCTTACCATGACTCAGTACTCTCGCAGATGCTCCAGTCTCACATGTCAAAAGATTTTTGTATCATCGGGCCTAAGGTACTTTCATATCCATCTTTTATAGCTTGATTATAGTCAGTGGAGTTCTCAATTGTAGGTACTTTTGCCTTATTTGCATAATAATTGTCCAAGTACATGGGGCTTGTTTGGCTTTTTTTTTGGTCTGTACATGCATTTTTGTTGTTGTGGGTTTTTATTTTAAATCTTGACAGTCACACACACTGATGTGCTTATCTTTAACTCAGATAAATAAACTTGTGTTCCAATTGAAACTTTGTATAAGGATTTGGTAACGAAGACTTATTATTTGTAGTTTGGGTTATTTATAAAACTTTTTTAAATACAGAGAAAATCAAGTCTTTACAAAGAAAGATTTTGTTGCCCATGTATATGACCAATGCAATTATTGACATGAAGAATTTCTCCTCTTGCCCTTTCCAACAGTTATTAATTTGTACTGCTCTATGTGGTTGATGTGAAACATACAAATAAATGTCTTTGTCAGTTGACTAGTATTTATTCAGTGCCCAAGCAACTGTTGACTTAGCCTACTTGATATTTCTTCAGTTTGAATTAAATTCTAAAGTTTTTCAAAAGTTATATTTCACTAACATGTTTGGGAATGAAAGGTCATTTTTCCTCTTTTCATATATATCTTAAACTGGTCGTTTAGTGAGGATTTCCATGATAAGGCTAGAACCCCATCCATATAGGCCACCAAAAAAAATTGGAAGCCCTTCACTATAGAACTAGGAAATATGAATTTAACATGAAAACAGTATATGTATTAATTTGGGAGTTATTTTTTTGTTTGAATTGGTTGTCATTTCAATACAATAAACACTCAAAGCTTAAAAATAAAGATTTTAGGACTGTAAGATAAAAATTAGATGAAAGCAGATTTTGCCTTTATTCTGTTTTGACTTCTGTTGATGTTTCACTGTAAAGGTCACATGACAAATAAAGCCCTTGGATCATCTAAGTTTAGGCCCTAAAGATAAGAACCTCAAAATGAAAAAGGATGGGGAATGAGTGGAATCTGAATTCCATCCCTTTCCCCTAAGTGCAGAGGCGTAAAAAACTAGAGAAAGTTTGATGCAGTTATGATAACTGTGTAGGCTCAGTTAACCATGTCCATAATTGCCACATGTAGTTTTATGAGTGAATGTTCAAAATAAAACAGGCATAATGGAGCCATTCTGTATTTGTTTTATGGGATCCCTGCTGATGCGATCCTGTATGAAATTTCTTTCCTTCCAGGGTTGTGGCAAGAGTGTTGTGGTGAAACAGTTCGCAGACTTGCTAGGCTATCACGTGGAGCCCATTATGCTGTACCAGGTAAACACTTATTTAAAAAATAAAGATTTACACATGGTACTTATTGTTGACGAAAATAAGTATGGAAGCCCTATTATTTACAGGCTTAGCCTCTTATGTCTTCAAGATACTGTTGTCTGTTTAAGAGAATTTGTTTTCTTTGTTGACAATTCAAAGTGAAAATTGACAGGTGCCTCTTTTCTTGTAGTCTTGAGTTTTTAGAAGGCTTTATTTTTTTAGTATTTTACATTTTTAGGAAGAGCTTAATAAATATCAAAATAATGATACACCCTACTTTGTTGAGTCTTGTCTTTGTATGTTTATTGGGAATGTGCATGGAACCATTGACTTTGTAAGAAGAGAAAGGCCTCGCAATCCTACTTATATTTTGTGAGTAATATGGCTTCTTGATTTCCATCTAATAATTGGAGGAATGAGGGTCCTTTCTTTTCTTGCAACAATGGAAAACATCAGCAGACAAGTGTGGTGCTTTTTAAAAGATGTTCATTTTATCTTTTTGTGTTTATATTTTTCGTTTTTGTTTACTTCATTACATTATGTCTTTTTCACCATTCTTCTTCTTCATTCTTCAGAAATTTGTTACGTGGCACCACAGTTTGCTGGCTCGGCAGTTATGCCTTTTTGTTTTCATTGCACCTTTCGGCCTGGTACCTCTGATTTCGGCCTGGTTTTCTGTCGGGGTTTGCTCCCTTAGTCTTTTGACTTCTCAGGGCCAGCTACAAAGCAACACTGGTTTGTCACCAGAGTTCCTTCTCTTAGACAGATTGCCAGCCAAGGCTATGCGAGTTCTGTCTGCCCCGGTTTCGAGTCAGTGTTTCCTCCACCTAGACGGTCTGCCTGAAAAGGCTAAGGAGCACTGTCTGCCTGGGATTTGAGATCATAGTTACTTTCTCCGAGACAGACTGCCTTCCACGGCTGAGCAAGCTCTGTCTACCCCGGTTTGGAATCAGAGTTTTCCTTCTCCTAGACAGGTTCGCTCTTTCGTCCTAAAGGTAGCTAAACGGGGTCTGTCTGGTACCCCGGTTTGGAGTCAAGAGTTTTCCTTCTCCTTAGGCTATGTCGGTCCACAGCACGTTCATCCGTATTATCCGGTGCAACGACCATCCAGAAGGGCTCCCCTATCCACCAACCAGGGAACGTGCCACAACGCTGTTTAGCCCCAGCACGAGGTTTTTCACCATTGGTTATAACAGTTACTTTCTTCAAATGAATAAATGTAGGAATTCATGAGTTCATTCTCATAGTTTTAGACAAGCTGCGTGAACAGTTTTATAAAAAGACATCTTGTCTTTTACATCTTTTAAAAATTTTAACCTGTAATTTTCCAGGACATGACATCGAGGGATTTGCTACAACAAAGAACCACACTAGCCAATGGGGACACTGTCTGGAGACCTACTCCGCTGGTGACTGCAGCCCTAGAGGGGAACCTTGCTGTGCTGGATGGAGTCCACAGAGTCAATGCTGGTTCATTCTCTGTCTTACACAGGTTAGTTTGATTGTCTGTTTATCCGACAAATGAAGCGAATGTGACTAAGTAACGGGTGGCATCTGGAGCTTGGCCATTAGGCTTCTGGAGCTTGACCATTTAACCCTTTCCTGCTCTCATTCTTTGACAACAGTGGTCACACTTTAAGTTGAACTTTCTGTGCGCTTATCAAAATCCTGTTGTTGACATTTTCTTGCTCACAGGGGATATAAGTAAATTCTGACTACTAAGAAACTTTCCTCATAAGAGATGAAAACAAAGCCACAGATTTATGTTGGTGATCTTTCTTTCTCTTAGACTAGCTCACCGTCAAGGAAATTCTATGAGAAAATAGGCTGCCTCGGGCAGGTTGAACAATGGTGCTGCCTTTTTTTAACCTGCCAGTTTTGGTCAAGTTTAGCAAAAAAAGTTTAAGGAAATGGTTCAATTAGAAAAGTAATTTTTAATTATGAAAAGTCTGACTTATCTTAGAAAGCTGCCCTGACTTTTCATTTCAGATGCCTAAAATTTGACATTTCTCAGTTAGGGGTCATGTCTTTAATTCATTTTCTAAGATCCTTTGCTAGATCGTACTCTAATTTAAGCAAAGTCCTCTCCCTTGGCAGATTTATCGATATATCATGTAAAATTTGTGTGGATGCAATAACTGATGAAAATGTTTTGCTCAAATTTTAGTTCTGGATTAAAAACTTTCTAGTTGCAAGCCCTCAACTTAAGTCATTGGTCATGTTTACTTTTTTCACAGACTGGTCAGTGAGAGAGAACTGCAGTTGTTTGATGGAACTAGACTGCTCAGCCAGGACAAGTATGAGAACATCAAAGAAGAAACAGGAATGACTGATCAGGAACTTCACGACAAGTGAGATTTGATAAGATAAGATAAGATGATACTTCATTGTCCCAATGGGAAATTATTCTGTGGTTGACAGGAATGGTAAAAACACGACATGTGGATATACACAGAATTTAAATTATAATGATTACTTCCATAAAAATTCAATATGAAGAGAAAAATAAAGCTGACAATAATACAGCACATCACATCAGATGCATCTCTCAAACCACTTTCAGGAATTTATCCTTGAAAGTTGTATGTGTCACGATGCGTTCGTCGGTTTTTTGGGTATATGGAGTTATTGGTATAATCTTATAGCCTATTGATTTGCCTTGCTTTTGGTGAAAGAATTACTCATCTATCTTGAACAAAAGCCGAGTTATTTGTGTTTAAGGGAGGCAGGGGTTGCCCGTTAGCAGAGGTAAATTAAGCAAGAAAATGGCTGCCAAAGTTTGGCCATTTCTATAGCTTGAGAGACCTTGGAAACTGCAAATTTACATTTTCGTGCTTTCTACCATTTTTCAGTAAAATCAACACGGAAATGTGTTTTTAAATGGACATAAACTATGTTGAGTCAAAAGACAAAAATTTGATAAAAATTGCCCAACTGGCAGAAAAATGCCATTTTCTTCAATTTCATTCTATGTTGAAGAGCGCCTGATTTTACTACGCTGCCTCACATATAGGTATATTCGAATAATATATTATTTGCATCAATAAAAACTGAACAGCAATGCACATTAATGTTTATTTCAACGGCAGCCTTATTACAGATGGCAGGAAACTTCTTCTGTATCTGTCTTTGCAGAGATGTAAGACAGCAGGACTGCAAGTGGAAATATTGAAGATAAACCAAAATCATTTTAGTTTCGGTTGTAAGGGTATATAGCGTTTTTGTTGGTTTTTGTTTTTGGTGGCTCCTCAAGGTCAATAAGTGAATGTTTCAAGAGAACACACCAGGATGATACGTGCTCCTGCCATAGAATGTTTGCCTGGAACACTCAATCCAGTTCTTAGCCTGAGCTGTAGTTTAGGCGTATTCCTGTTCATTCTCAATGGTTGTTTTGGAAAAGAAAGCATCCCTGTCTTGAAACTCAACTGCAGTTGATCAGGGTGGGGCACTAAATAAAGTGAATATTTTTGGTAAACTTGGCATTCGTTCCCAGCTCTATTAGGATATGCTTCCTCATAGAATTATCAGTGTAAAACGCTTGTGTGTGCCACACCTTGTTGTAATTGAAATAACGAGTTCAGTGAATTTGAAAGTCAGACCCAACAAATTCGTTAGTTGAGGGGTTCACTGTATTTGTATGACAGGAAGTATGAATTACTGGAATGTTGTCACGGTAAGAAAAATACTTCTGTTATTCTTTTCTAATGTGTCTACTGTTGTCTTGCTATGCCTGTAGGCAGATTCTTCCAATCCATCCATCGTTCCGCATCATTGCCCTTTCGGAGCCTCCTGTTGCCGGTAGCGCGAAGCAGCAGTGGCTCTCCCCTGAGATGCTGACAATGTTCCTGTACCACAACATGAGGCCTCTGTCTCGCCTGGAGGAAATGAGTGTCATTTCATCGATGGTGAGCTTCTGATTGTTTTTTTTTTTCTTTTGTTACTTTTTTTTTTTTCTTTAAGCTTTCAGCTGACTTTATTGGCACTGTTCGCTCAGTTGGTAAAGGACAATACGTTTGTGTAGAGGTCCAGTGTTGCAATCATGTACCAAAACTTAAGCTCTTTAGAAAGTTGTGAAGGCTTCTTATTCTGTCCTTTTGCAGTTGTGCGTTGATTTGGAGGTTCCATCCCTAGGGATGCTTTTTTCCATAAACATTTTTTGAAGTTATTTCTGTTATTTCTGTTATTTTTGCAACGACACATAATTTTGTCTGTTTTTGTTTTCTGTTTATCCCCACTTTGATCGAGTCTGTTACCTGTCTTTTTGTTTGCCTATGCATTTTTATAAATTTTCAGGTATTGTCACAAAATCCCACTGGCATCCCTGCATCGCTTTGATAACCTAAATATGTTGAAAGAAGCATAAAACTTGAAACTTTGATCTTATGCCAGAATACATTTAAACGAGATCCAAAGATTTTTTTTTTATGCTTGATAGGTATTTCTTGAAGGAGTTGTTTCGATTGAGGTAGGGGTGAGAGACAGCTCGCTTCTGTACAATTTAGATCCCTCTTATGTTTAATATATTTGTAATATCGTATGTATTAATTCTAGATGATTCTTGACATTATTTATTGCAGGTTCCAAATGTTCCAGACTTGAACAAGTTGTTTGACTTTGTTCACAATCTTAGAGAATCTACAGATGGGACTGTAAGTTGTTCATTTTCAGTTCGTGGTTTCTATAGGGAAATGAGACTTTGGTCTGGTAGAAACAGGCAAACTGATTCAATTGTAATAAGTCCATCATCTGAGTCAGAAAAGTTTTTAGAGTTGCTGTGTGAAGATGAGATAGAGCAGAGCAATTACAGACTTACAAAACGGGATTCATTTGCTATTCTTCCAGCAAACGATTAAGCTGCTGCAGTAGACTATTGAGTGGTAATTTTTGTGCTTTGTATAAGGAATTTTGATTTTTCTTGACACTGTAGGAGCCCTGTCATCCAAAAGATCTAGTTATGAGAGTGTGGCACGTGGCACTACTGTCGAAAAATATCTTTCCTCTTCTTTGGAAAAAATTAGTACAAATTTGGATGATTAGGCTGTAATGAAATCTGTTTTTAAAGAAACGATTTCTTGTTTGGTCTCTAAGTCCTAAATGATTTTTGCAAGGTGGAAGTTATGGTGCATGTGTCAGCAAAATTGGATTCCCAGAGGATCTGCAGTGGAAGTTTTAATGGAGTGTGATATGTTGGTGAAGATATTATGTCTGTTTATTTTTTGTTTTATAATAATAATACAGTCGAACCTGCCATGACGGCCGCCCGTATAATACGGCCACCTGTACTAACGGCTGCTTTCCATTTCCTCCCTTGCGTTTTTTCTATATAATTTAACAATGTAAAACGGGCACCTTTACAACGCAGCCACGACCACCCTATTTTATTAACCCAAGGTTAAATTAACTTGCCTGAGCCGGCCAGGCTTTGTAAAAAATTATGCATTTTCTCCTGACACTGTGGACAAGCTATCATAATTCATTCACCTGTCATTATTGTCAGTCCATCCAGTGGAATAAACAGTCATGTTGCTTAGGTCGCTCCCAATGTTTACTCAAGTTGACCAGTGGGTAACAATAAATTTTCAGCTGCTGGAAAAGGAACCATGTGATCTGTCATAACCTATAAGCCCCACCCACAACTCAGTCCGTATACCCAGTCCATAACAATGGAAGTGAACACGAACTGGCGACGGACGCGCTGCTCGTTCACAGAGTGGTGGCTTCCCATTGGTTTGTTTAACTATGGCACTTGGCCTTTCTCGTCTGACATGTTTTGTTTTGACCTTTCACAGAACCATGATTTTAAAAAATAATAATAAAACTAACAACAAAAAGTCCCACAAAAACCGTCCTATCCTCTCCCCCCCCCTTTCAAAAGAAAAAATAGATTGAACTAAAAAAAACCCAAACATTTTAATGAGCCCAACGTCAGTCCTAAGGCTGCGACCACCTCCAGTTGGGACCTCAAAAGCAAATGGTTTGTTTTCTTCATTTTGATCAGTCCTGCATATGACGGCCACCTGTTTTATACAACCATTTTTCTCCTTGACAATGTGTGGCCGTCATACACAGGTTTGACTGTATTTGACATTTATATAGCACTGTACCTCGATTAAAGAGCACAGTCTCTGAGCACTTTACAAAAACTGATAGTAACACACAGATAAATGTACATACATGTATATCTCTTTGATTTCAGTAACTCAGTCTTATTCAGTTAATGTTTCATAATTCATCTAACTACATGGTTCTGATTTTGAGCCCATTATGATGTGTCATTTCATTTTCCAAATCACAGCTACAGTCTCTGGCCTCCAGTTTGTCAACTCGCCAGTTGCTAAGAATTTCCAGAAGGCTTGCTCAGTTTCACAGTGAAGACGTGTATAATGTTATACACAAGGCCTGTCTAGCAAGGTATGAAGAAAGGTTGTCTTTCATTTGTTGTGTCATTTCTTTCTCAGATTATTCTTTGGGCAACAATGTTAGTGCTCACCGGATAGGTCAATAAGTGCTCAGTTCCTCCTTTCACCAAAGCCCGCAAGGTGTCCATACTGATTGTTCCAGTGGCTGTCTGATTATGGCGACATCTTTCCTTTCCAAATAATCATTCCTTTCTTCCTTCTCCCCTCTCTATCCCCATTTCTCGCATCGTGATGATTGCATGGTGTTCTGGTGTCTCCCTGTCTTCCTCATCCCGCAACTTTTCCTCCACTTTTCCTCCAGGGTCTTCAACACTTCTCCTTTGTCAAACTTAACCTCACCATCAACCACAGCACTGCCTGCCAGCCTATCAGCCTCCTCATTGAATCTGATACATCTATTCTCATGTAGTACATCTATGTCACATACTCCAACACATGTTAAATCAAATGAGACTTTGCAAGTTTTCAAGCTCTCTCAGAAATGAAATTAGTTGATAACAGTATGTTTGCAATGGGTTCGGGGGTTCGAGCCTGAGCTTGGTCTGACTTTGTGTTCTTGGGAAAAGCACTTTACTCAAATGTCCCACTTGGCTCGTCGTTGCTTTTGGAGATGGACGTTAAACTCGGAGGTCCCGCCTCTAAAATAACCTAACAGTGCTGGTAGGGGTGTTAAACCTATACCATTTTGCCATTTAAAAAAATGTTTTTACAAGTTTACTCATGTTAATTATAATGAATTTTATCAATTTTTAAAAATCAACTTTCAGATTTCTGCCTAGACTTGCACAGTCTGCTTTAAATCAAACTCTGGAAGAAGCTGCCATCATTCCCACTTCTGTGGACCACCACTTGGATGATTATCAACACTCGGTTACTTGTAGGTGTCATGTGGGTGGTTTGTGGGTGCTCTAGTGTGGTTTGCTCCTTCTTTCCTATCAAATGTCTATTGTCCTTATCTCTCCTCCTTCTGTATAGTGTTTGTTACTTTTTGGTGTCATGTGAGTGGTTTGCGGGTGCTCTAATGTGGTTTGCTCCTTCTTTCCTATCAAATGTTTATCGTCCTTACCCCTCCTCCTTCTTTATTGTGTTTGTTACTCTCTCGTAACACTTCTAATCTTCGGCACTTATGTGACCTAATTGTCTTTCAAGTGCCTTAAAGCACTTACTAAAACAAATGTAGCTGCCAGTGAGAGTGAACCTGAACTTATTCTTTGAAAACTGAACTGTTTAGACTGGTTTACTCAACATTTATTTGAATAATAACATAATTTTGTATGTCCATCCAATGACTATATATATATATATATATATATATGTGTGTGTATCTGTGTGAGTGTGGTTGTGTTTGTGAGAGTGGAGTTTATATGAATGTACATTTACCATACTGCCACAAATTTCTCTTTCTGGGGGTCAATAAAATGTTATCTTATCTCATTTTAATGATTAATGTGAGTTTTTTAAAATAATTTTTTTGTTTCTTGTAGATATTTTTTAAGACTATTTATGTGCATAGATATGCATGTCAGTGTGTGCCTGTTATAATTTTTTTACAAACTTTCTACTGATATAAATAGTTCAGACACTCTTATCTTAAGTTGTACGTCTTTATTGTTCTCACTCTTTCAGGCTCAGTACAGGATGGTGTGGTCCGAATTGGAAACACAAGTGTGCCTGTATACAACCCTGAGAACAAGACCAAAGTGCCTGACATTCTTTTCTATGAAAATCCCCAGGTATGGAACACTTTTATTCTTTGTTGAAATATTTTGTTTTTGGTATTTTGGGTATGTAAAAGCATTAGTTCTCAAATTGGGATGTGATCTCAATAGATGGTTTAGTGCGGATTCAACATCCTTTAAACATGGTAAACCCCCGGGGCTGTTCCACTGACTGAAGTGTCTCTAGGCCATTCCCAATGGGGGGACATTTCTCGTTCTAATGCACAGTAGAATTGTAAATGGGCTGATCCGACAATGTCAAGCTCATAACTGTGCCTGAACTACAACAGGGAACTGCTGCTTTTTCTTTCCTAATCCTTACTATTGCCATTTTCCTCTACTTCTTTTGTATGTTTGTCACACTCTTGTACCCCGCTATTTCCGGGGTGCCTTGATAGTCGAAGCAGACTTTGTGCTGTTGAAGCTAGAGAGGTGAGCAGAGCAAGTCTGATTCCCTGTAAGGACTTCTCTGTTGACATCCACCCCTTGGCGCTCATATGACCTAATGCAGTTGGGAGCGTCGTAAAACCTCTACTAAAACAAAAATCATGGTAAGAGTATATTAGAAGAGAGGCCTTAGAATTTGTTTGTGTGCCATACCTTGGCAATTAAACTGAAATGCAGAAAGTTACAAGTCTTTTAATTCTGAATCAGCTGGTCTTTGAATATCATGAATACATTTGGTGATATTGCAGGTTTTGTAAGACGAAGTAGGGATATAACTTATTGAGAAAAATAGCTATAAAGATAAATGACTTTTTTTTCTCACAAAAATAACATAAAAGCATTTACATTTGATTCATTTGTCTTTTGTGGTATTTTATACTATTAAGGTTAGTAAAGAGAAAGTCAATAAATTCAGAGTAGAACATTGACTCATTTACCTCAGAATTAATTTCCATGATTTATCAGAATTGATTTTTCTTTATTTTTACAACTCGACTGACACTTAACTACTTCCGCAACATTTTCTTCTACTCAAGACAAAAAACGGACGTAAACACAAAGACAAAGGAGAGTGGGTTCCCTTGGAGAAGCTTTGTACAAAGTTTTTTTTCGTATTCCTACCTGTTTAGATGGGAAACATCTATCTGTATGGATAATGCTAGCCACTGGGAGTGGTCACTTATCAATCTGGGAAGAAGTTTTGGCTGCTGCGAGTGGCTTCTTGGGTTCAATTAGTTGTGTACATTTCTGTGGCAAAGCAAAATTGATGTGAAAAGGTGAGAAATTTGGTCAAATTTGATGTCAAGTAAGGCTGACCTGGTTTTCTGGACATACGTGTATGTGCAAGTACTGCCATTGGAATGTAAACAACTGTATTCCCATGCACTGCAATGCATGGTGTAGTGGAAATATTGCTTAAAATGTTCATAACTTGATATGGTTTGTGTAGAAATAAAGACTGGGACAGTGTCAAATGTTGACCCAAATATACGTCTATTTGAGCCATTTAAATATTTTAAATTTCCACTACACATTTTCAAATATTCCGATTTTTACATTACTTAATAAAAAAAACATTGTGTTCAATCCTTTTGGAATGTGATTTATGAATATTTAAACTTTGATATTCTAGTGAAATTATATTTTTGACCTTTGATCACCTTAGCACCTTTGTTGGCCTCTATCTTCTTCTCGTACCCTTGCTAGAGTGTAAGGAGTTACTGACTTCAGAACTTCATCTCACAGTGCAATTGATTTTTACATGCTTGACCGTTTTATATACATGAC